ATAACGATAGAACGGAAGCTTGTGGCTATGCGGAAGACCGGAAACGAGAAGAGGTTGGGCTCGAAATGGCGCTGCGAACCATTCAATCACCACAATGGGATATTCAAATCACTCGCTTCGAGATCAACCACTCAGAACACCTACTTGAATCTAAATCTGGCTTCCCGTTTGTCGTAAAAACACTCGAAATTAATCGATCGATTAATGATCTCCGCGATTAGTAAACTAAACGCGAGCCACATTTACGCGCGACAAGATCTTGGCGCGGATTTTATATTCCCAGAAAAAATCTACGTATCCCGCGTATCTACGAATGCTCGTCTCCTTGTTCTTTCTCAAATCGACGGTATCAATTGGGAGCAGCGCCATTCAAATCCGTCCGACGTTCGAACCCCCGTCCGATTTCTCACTCTCTGTGAATTTCCTCTGCACAATACCATCTTCTAATAGAAGACATCCGTTATATTCGCCAGACATCTGTACCGAATATAAGAAAACGAATTTTTCGGATCTTTCAGACTGTCTTTTCCGTGTATCGTCAAAACATATTTTCGGCAGCACACTTGGACACATCTGTGTGCTACCTATGCTATGCTATTGTAAGTAAACAAAAAGTATTGCGTGGAATCAGTTATATAAAATAAGGAAATGCTGATACGGCAGTTTGAAGCAATCACTGATGTTGAAGTGTGAAAGTTAGAAATGTTTATTAAAGAATATATGTAGATTGTATAAACGTTTCGACTCTTGATTTGTCTTTATCAATATAAATTAATAAGCAGTAGATAGATCTGCGTTTATAAAGATGTGTGTCACAAATACACAGATAACTGACACTTTGGTGGACATCTACTGCTTATTAATTTATATTGATAAAGACCCAAATCAAGGGTTGAAACGTTTATACAATCTACATATATTCTTTAATAAACATTTCTCACCTTCACACTTCAACATCAGTGATTGCTTCAAACTGCCGTATCAGCATTTCCTTATTTTGAACAAACTTGGAGCTATTCATTATTTATCACAGTTATATAAAGTTGACACTCTCCAATTTTTATAACATTTTTACGTCATTTGTTTATATCCACGATTTATATTCACCCCACATACATATGTTTTTACACACACATCCTCTTTTCACACTCACATCCTCTAAAAACCTAGTTATTATAAAAACAAATTATCGGATACTTGTGAGTCAGTCTGCGAAGACCAATATTTTACAGCTAAAAGAACTTTTCGCTAATTTTTTAATTAGCTATACAAGGCCGCCGCGCGTCAGAAATTTCTTGTTAGATCTTACAGAACTTTGAGCAAACATCCTCAATGGCACGTAAACAACGATTACGTGAAAGCTTTTACGACGAAATATTGTTTTTACGCTAAAAGCGTATAGAGAATCTCGATTTCGCGAAAAAAAAAACTATTTCGTACTAATGTTGTGCGAGTTATTTTAACAATTGTTACAAACTATAAGTGAGAGCGCATATCGCCAAAAATGTGGGGATTAATAACAAAATCTTGATATCTTAAATATAAAAATTATAAAAAAACTATAAGCAAATAACCGTTGAAAAAAATATGACACTCGTTCATAATAAACGATATTTAGTTACCATATCGATAATTCTGTTGCATTCAACATCTTTGTCGATATTGCTAATGCATTAATAATGTCACGTCGAATGCAGGTGTGTTACAACATCCTACCAGACGTGTCTAATCAACCCCTTATTGCTTCCTCTATTTTCTAGTGCGCGATGTTGTACTTCCCTTTGACATTATGAATTTCTATTATGTGTTCTCTCTCTCTCTCTCTCTCTCTCTCTCTCTCTCTCTCTCTTGCACACCTCTTCTTGCCTACAAATATTATACCGTCTATCGGAGATTCTTCGAGATAGCATGATGTATGTGTGTATGTGGGCGCGCGCGCGCACGTACGTACCGACAGCGGGACACGCTTTCACATTCACGTCACGTCGCGCTCGCCAACATTTTTAATTTAAGTTCGACGCGAGAGGTGCGTGAGAGAAAAAAAAACTATGTTTTCAGCCCGCCATGGTTCGTGGTCGGATTTCGAATAGCCGTAAACGCGAATTCAACGAAGAGAGATGAGAAAGGGATATACGCCGGACAAGAGAAGAACAGAGTTGAGCCGGTCGTAAGATTGTCCGGTGCAAAAGTTGCAGCGTGACGCCGCGATTAAATTGTCCCGTGTGTCGCCGCGCGATAGTAATAATTACACTCTCGGCGGGGCACGTTTACGCGATAAAAATGGGAACGTTAACGAGCGTCGGTTCCCCGACTTTATTAGCTTATCGCTCGTTCGCGCTATTATGTCCCGGCTATTGTATGTGTGTGCGCACATGCGCAAATTTGCTACGGGAAAGATAGCTCGGAAAGATGCGGAACATTGTAATGATAACTGGCTGCAAGATACACTCACATCGCGAAGCGCAACATGATTATAGTTTATACCGCTTTATTCAGTTTGAGCATTCTTCATATGTGTGTATGTGTATATATATAAATAAATCCAATATATTCGTTTACTCTAAAGGTAATGGAAAATATATACGATATTCGTGCTCGCCGCGCCGCACGTTTCGCGTTAAACACACACAGCCTCATTCCTTACCGAAATTTATTTGTTTAATATGACGACCATGTTCTCGACCTACTATCGCGACCTGAGAATTGCATGCGAGCTGCATTTAGCGCCAAACACACGACGCCAATATGGTGTATGCCGCGCGGCTTCGCGTTATATCATATCGTTTAAAGAGTATCCGGTGTAAACGAACGAGAAACTTTCTCCGAAGATGTCTCATCTTGTTATCGAAGCTCGCTGATAACGAGCTTCGAAATATTGTCCGCTCGAGAACCATCGTTGCAGTAAATAATAAAGACAAGCTGGTCTTTAAACTCAGTGAAATAAGGGCACTCTTGAACGCGCGCTGACAAGGATCTCCGCTCACGAACGCACTCGAGAAAATCCTTCGAAACGCGCAATACCGCGACCCACCACCCTCTCACTTTCTTTATTCCAGACAGCAATCTTCATTCATCACCCGGATTCTTTCATCGCTATCCGATCGCTTGTAAAGAACATTGATTTGCAGCGATGTGCGGGCCATTCTGAAAATCCGAGTCGACACGAAATACGTAATACATAGAAAATTAAACGTTCAAAATAAACGTAATTGTGAAATTGTTTTTAATATTATTTTAATATTATGTTTAATATTATAATATTATATAACATAATATTATGTTTAATATTATGAACTTAAATTAAGAAACTAAAATATTAAATTTAAATTAAAAAAATAAGACTTTATAGCCATACATTGGATGCGAAATATATATTTTTGTTTAATGTGTGAATTAATACACATGGAGATTCGAATTGAATAACAATCCTAAAATTTATATAGAATGCTACTTTGCATCATATGTATATATATATTATATATAATGAATTACTCTTATTATAACCTTCCAATGAAATTTAAAACATCTCAACGCAAAAAAGACATCTTGACGAGAAATCAAGCTCAGATCTCCTGTGCAGTTTTCTTTTAATATTATAATTCTATACGCGACGAGTAGAAAATATTCCACAATTTTATTTCTTCGATCGAATAAAAACATACAATTAAAATTAAAAACTCCTTATTTAATATTTTTATTATTTACAATCACATTAACGTAACAAAATTCATACAAGAGAAAATTTACACTTATCAACTTATGCGTGCAAGAAAAATTTCATGCATCATAAAATCAATTTTGAAAGCTCAAGAAAATCCGAGGTTTGTTTTCAGGCTGCATGTTCACAACATTAGATCAAACAAGCTCTAGGCGAACGCGTCAGCGAGAGAGATGTCCGAGTTAATGTCTCTCGTTGAAAGTTCGCAACTTTGTCCTTCGCGCGTGTATATGCGGTGCGTATGCACTTGGCATAAGCGCAAGAGGGAGAAGGATAGCGCTAAAGCTCTCGTTGCATTTATAATTTCTCACGTCCCGACGCACTTGCAACACGCAACGTAAAGTAATTTCCGCCGAAGGTTGAGCGCGCTTTTAGCCGAATCTAATTTTGCGCGGCATCATCGATGCACGCGCGTCCCTTTCAACCGCGATATTCATATTTATACGCATAAATCTTCTCAGAATGACGAACACGCGGGAAATTAGCGCGAGATAGAACGATATGAATATTTTGCCGTTGAAAGCAATGTTCCGTTTTAATTTGTGCCACGCAGTACTTGCCCGCTGCGGTTGCGTGTGCGTGGTGTGAAGATAATCTTTTAAATATTTTATATCGGTTGAGAGAGAGAAAGAGAGAGAGAAAGAAAAAAAGAGAAATATTAATTTCCAACTACAAGCATTTATACTGAGTGAGAGCTAATTAAATTCCACACTGAATTCATGTATATTTTTTTGCAGAATTTGTTTGATTTATTAAAATTCGTTCGCGAAACACTGTTTTATTTTTCTGACTCATTTGAGATACAAAAATGAACAAAACAAGATAATAATTATTATTATTGACAATAAAGTGACGGAAAATGTTGTGAAAAATAAATAATTATTTTATACGTAGCAAAGCAAAAGGAACAAACAATTTAATCAATATGAATAAAAATATTTGTTTAGCACACTACGATTAACTATTTCAAGGAACGAAGGAGACATAAGTATGTCAATAATAGAACGAACAGTACATCCTAAACTCTGAATTTTTATTATCGTCTCCTTGCAGCTTGCGCTGATTGATTAATGCAATCGATTGATCATTATCTTTGCTCGTCAATCAGAAACGGAATACTTAACATGCATCCCCCGCAGCAAATTTACCGCATCGCACGCCGCGCGGCATGCAAATCACTTCTCGCGCGCGATCAAAAACATGTGCGAGCCATACACGAAGCGTCTCGATCAATTTGCGCGATCGGAATGCTCCAGACAATAACAGTGCTACCTATAATTACCTCGCAATGAGCGCCGGCTGTTTACCATTGCATCTCTCGCGATCGAATATCGCTTGCACTATTTCCGAAAGCGGAAAACTGAATTTTTTTCTGTGGATGTTTTTTCTCTTCTATTATTTTCTGTTTCTTCCGCGGCTGCGGAAAGGTCGTTATACCTACGTGCGTATGTCGCCGACCGAACGAAAGCTCCTTCGAGCGCGTCGCGGCGCCAACTGGAGAATTTTCGTGAGTGCACGAGTGTTCGCGACTCCGCTCTCATCACGCGACGCATGCGTTCTGGAGAACACAAGAAAAACGGCATAGAGAGACAAAAAAGAGAGACCAGGAAATCCTGATATTATAACTCTTATGGAGGATTCGTCGCGTAGAGAGAATCACCGAATATGAAAAGGATCTCGTAGCATCTCGCAAAGTTGCGTAAACTTGCACGGAATTAAAAGATCAGATATATCCTTACTCACTTATACGAAAATGCGCGGGGATAGTTGAAGCTTCATTTTAACGAAGCTGAATTAATGAGATGACGCTGCGAAGTACGAAGTAACAAAATGACGCTAATCATACACACACACACACACACAAAAGCCCTGAGTTCTATAAATACTAACTCCTAATCTAATATATGATGCGTTTGCGTTATCCGCACTCTCGCTCTCGCTCGCTCCGAGTTCGCTTGCCTTCGTGCGCGAACTCTTATCTGATATTCATACAGTTGAAACCACCTCGGCGCGAATCTCATCATAGATAAACTCGCGAAATAGCGGGGAAAAATGATAATTAGAACATTTCGCGTTAGCATTGACAAACGCAAATTTTCGTAACGTCACGGAAAAAAAGTTTGAATATTTCAGACAGAAATGGTTTGATTTTTTTGGTAAATAAAGTCACTTTCAAAATCTGAAATAATAATTTTTTTAATTTTTTTACTTTTCTAAGTCGAACAAGATATTAAATAATATCAGCCATTCCCTCGTCTCTTTGTAAATCATGACTCTGTGACGTAGATGCAGAAAAGTTGGAAATATTTTATCAATTGTTTAATATTATAATATATATCTTAGAACTCTTAATTAAAAGTTAAATGAGGAATAGAAAATTTATTTATTTATGAACCTAATTACATAATTGTAAACATAATCGAAAAATATACAGCTATAATATGTGTATAGAAGTGTGAAAAAATATAAATGTAAATTATTTGTAGAGATTTAAAAACAAGAGAACGCCACATCTTTTGTACGTAAAAAGAGACCTACGCTGACGCTAATATGAAGCAATTTATCTTAGCACCAATAATGTCCTTATTTTCGCTTGACATCTCTTTTCTTTACCTCATGACGTACGAGGAAAGTGGGACACGTCGAGTCTTCGATCACGATAAAACTCTGACTGATCTGCGATTACGTCCGGAAAATGATATGTCAGCAATAATTCAACATGTTACGTGTGTCACGCGTCGATTCGCGCGCGATCGTCGTAACGATGTCATTGACTCGGAAGTTTGTGCTGGAAGGCGGAAGCAAAACTCTCATCGTACTCGAAGAAATATTGAGAACTCGCGCCAAAACAATTGAACAAATATACAGTCGAATAGTCGCTCGCTCGAGAAGAACGTCGTAAATGTCTATTCTCGCACTACTAAGAAATTTCACTTCGATGCCACGCGTAAACGTAAATATCTATCGCAATAAAGTGTCACAATCTGTCGCGCAGGATATTGCTCTCGTCATCGTTAAACTGTGTCGGAATAATCAAATATGTTAAGCGCGGAAAAATTCGTCACAATGAGAAAAAAATTCGCGAAAGTTCTTCTCTTTGTTTTTTCATTTAAATTTATAAATAAACTTTTTTAAAAATTTATAAATGAAGACCTAGAAAAATAATTTTAGATATTTTAAAGCGCATTTTTTCGGGATGACAGAGAAAAAGAGATCAAAATCTCAACATTATTTCTTACAATTCAACTAAAACTTCTACATTATTTATTATTGAATTATATCTTGACTACGTTTTTTTTATAATTTTTCTATGTCTAGAAATAGTGCAGCATAAATACTTTATATCATGAAAGTAATATTTCTCACAAATGGACTGACGCGAAAAATACAGCCTGTAAAGATAGGTCGGTTGCGAAGTTAGAACGTAAAATATTTATCGGTATCCTGCATATTGTTACGACGTCGGCTGTATAAAAGTAGTACCTTTCTCTTTTCCCGATTATTCTCGTCGCCGCTCCGTACGCGTATGAAAACTGAACGAGACGCCCGGTCTCGCGGGATTTTCTTAACTTTCGCGTCGATACGGCGCTTTACGGGAAAGAACTAAACAGTTTCGACCGTTTGCGTTTCGATGCAAAACCACACAGGCGGCGTTTATAAGGGCCGTAAAAGCGTGCGTGGATACCAATGCGATGAAAGCGGCGTCACTCTAAATCTGCATTATCGCCCCTCCGATTTTTTTCCCGTCGCTGTTTCACACTAAGCGAAATATAAAACTGACTGCGAGAAACCGACGTCGTTAAATAATTTAATTTTCTATTCTTCGAACCGATCTCAAAGGAGCAATTCTTTTTTTCGGGACATCTAGTGTATTAATCTCGATCCTCTTCATCGGAAACAAGGGAGCAACTCTCATCTCGTCGAGCGTCACGTTCATTCTTCTTGCAGGCGGGAAACGTGAAAGGATTACTGCCGCTCGCGTCAGATCCCGCGGTGATGGCAGTCATCGGGATGTTTCTCACGTATCTGGAGGTAGGCTGCTTCAGACAGGTATACATCGAATCGAGCAAGGGGATGAAAAGTAACAGTGCTGCAGATATTAGCGGCCATTCAATAAGTTTTATAAAGCTTCCGTTAGCATTGAATCGGAGAGAAATTTCTCGATCGTCACGCGATTTCTTCACGAAATAAAATTCAGATTTATTTTTTTGCCAAATCGACAGATTTTTTCTTAAACTTTTTATTTACTTAGTTTAGAACTTAGCTCACTCACGTTGTAGAACGTCAAAACTAGCAAAAAGAAATGCCATTTTATCGCGTACTATAAACACGGAAAAGATAGAAATAAAAATATACACATAAAACGTGTTCATAAAAATACCCGCTTTATTTTTTTCAACTTTGTGTCCCATTCAATATATATGACACAGTTATCGGTAATAACAGAGATATAGATATCGGAATCATATTTACGTCTCAAGACAAAATGTGTTTTTAAATGTCTATGTTGCATTTACAGGTAAGTATGGCCCCTTAAATGCAACGATAGTGATAATAACACGTGTACAATAGTAAGTACAATAGTCAGTTGCGGATCTACAGTTTTTTTTTGAGCTAATATTTTTGAACAAAAAAGTTCTTCACTTACTCAACGCAATTACCTAAGAAAATAGCCTAGCAAAATAATATTAACATAAATTTTACAATTAGAAAAGAAAATTGGAAACACTGGAAACACACATCACAGTTTAATGAGCATACACATTTAACACATATCTACACACGTCGAGAAATTCTTTGTATCTCTTTTAACTATCATTCTAATAGCTCAAATTTAGTTTAAATTTACCGATAGATCCGGCACTGAGTAATAATTATGACAATGTTAACTCTAGCGCATTAGTATCGCGTTATATTGCAAGAGAGTTTTAAACAAGTTTATTGCACCATTTTATTCGGTTACTTATCTAGAAATAAGATCGATACAAAAAAAGTACCGGTGCTATTCGCAGAATGAGATTCTCGTACAAGAGAAATTAAGTGTGTGTGTGTCATGGGAAAAAATAAAATGGAAATGTTTTTCTAAATGCCTAAGGAAAATGGACACTACAAACGACAAAACGTGTCCTGTTCTCGCGTTCTCACCCGCATTGGAGTTGAATGTGGAACTTTAAGTGCTAAATGAGCGATTACCTATATAACTATATCGAAGTATCTAATCGGAAAAAAACACGAAGGAAGAAATATTCTCATTATCGTTGAATTGAGTGGTAGACAACAAAAATGGAAGAGAGTCACGAGAAATTACACAATCGACATTGAAAGAGAGATATGCGTAACAACTTATAAACAATTATTTTTCGAAACATGAAATATCTGGATTATGAATAAGTGTAAACCTTTTCTAACCGCTATTATATTGATTGCAATAGATTGATATACGCGTTTGCAAATACAAAGCATTTTTTTCTTTTCTTTCTCTGAGAAGTAAAAAACAAGTCTGAGAATAGAAAATTTACTGACTTTCAGTCACATTTTTTTCTTTTTTTTTTTTTTTTTTTTTTAATATATGTTTTTTCACCACTTCCATTTTGATGATCGTTTTCTCGTAGTTTTTTTATTTATCTCTTCCAAAAGTTCGTAAAATGCAGGCGCACCCGCGCACGATCTATATTCATTTTCTACTGCTCTTAATTAATCGTATTCGCGAGAAGATTCCGTGTTCTGGAAGAGAGTGTGCCGCTCTTCTTCTGTAGATGGAATTTTCGAGGTTGCGGATTTTACCGCCCTTGGCACTTTGCTTACTTTACTGAAGTCTCTGCTCATTCCGTTACCACCGGAAACCCTAAAAGAAAAACAAATAAAAATGATTTTTCGGAACAAAGAGATTTAAAAAATTATTTTTTTGCGTTTGATACATTATAAATTTTATTAACAGAATTTATTATCCACTTTTAGAATTAATTAATACATACACAATGTCTTTGTCGTCTTCGTCGTCCGGTTCCATTTCATCACTAGGTACTGTAAAGTAAGGATTTGCTGACGCTGGTCGAAATTTATAACCCGTCAGGACGAAGAAAGCATATGTCGCCATTTCTCTGAATGTTTCATCCAGCCATTGGTAGTCGAAACGCACAGTGATCTGCGAATGAAAAGTTAAACGAATAAAATCTAGTTTTTTTTTTTTTGTGATATGACACGTTTTGAAATTATTTCGAATTATTGCAAATCTCAAAATAGCGCGCACCTTAAGTATGTACATTATAATTCGGGTAAAGTATATGTAGAAAACTATCATAATGTAGAAATGTTTGAACAGCATCAGCTTGCGTAAGTTCATAGCCGCTTTATCACTCGTGCGGGCAGCTTCTTCTAAATGTCTGATGCTCCAAACCACCGGAAATAGAATTGCGCCACAGCAAACTAAATCAACAAGTATGAACATGTCTCGCGAAGTTTCGCGACGTAAATTACCCACGTCGCTTTCCTCGATTATTATCTCGGCTACATTTGCCAACACCTATGAAGAAACACATAATCATTTGTTTTTTCCATATATACATATATGTATGTATACACACAATACACAACCTTAAAAAAACAAAGAATTTTTAAGCCACATAAAAAAAATGATTACAAAATTACGAATATCACAGTGAAAAAATATCGCGTATCTCCCACTAACTTAAGTTGAACAAGAAAAAAAAGTCGATGTTTACCTGCAACGGTATGACGAGCATGAAGAGTTTCTTTTCTTTGTCCGTGAGAATATGCTTTATGAAATTCCATCCCGTGCCAATGAGTACAATAGTAATAAAGAGAACGGCACCTTTCAGGAGATGAGTGATGTAGTATAAAATTGCCCACGCCTCTACGTGTTCACCCTTAGTCTGGATGAAATGGTAATTTATACCATGAAACAGTAATGAGAAAGACTTCAGGTACACGAGAACCGCCATCAGATAGTGGATTTTGAACACGGTATGCCTGTGCGAAAAAAAAAACGTTTACATTTTCTTTCTTTGTTATTAATGCTCCCCATTATATCTTACACTGATGTGTTTCTCTTACTTGCTTTTATTGAGTATAAATACCCAAAAGCAGCCCGATAGGAAGAAAAGAAGCGCCATTGTGAAATATAAAGCAGGCAGTGGCATCTCGCCAGCGCTAAGAAAGTTGTCATTATTAATCTCTGCTACTTCCACCTAGAAAAAAAAAATGTTTCTTTTCAGTGTAACAGAAATCATTCAATCTTGTAGTCTTTCCGATCGTACTTCGAATAATCTCACCGTAAAATCCACTAGCAGCGGTTCCTTATAATTGTCATAATTCTGACAATTGTGAAAATAAAGATTGTACAAGCCCTCTTCTTCCTCACTGGCCACGTACATTACGAAGCTCGTGTTGTACGATTTTTCGCCTTTCGCCGTCGTCTCCATCGTCATCGGCAATCTCAGACGCGAACATGCATTGCTATCTGGCTCGAGTTTCAAATTGTTGGTGCCGACGATAGATTTCTCGACTACAAAACAAAGTTTTGTAAATTATGTGTTAAATGATATTTTGTTCTTTTTACTTTTGCAAACTGTTACAATCAAATTTATTTCTTAAAATAAAAAATAAAAGTATGAATAAAATATGGACAAAAATATATTTTTTTACATTTCACACGATCATGAGAACAATCTCGTTTTATTATCAGGTAAGATTATTAACTTGTTTCAGGCGACAGCGCAAAAGTGTCGCAATAATCGAGACAAGACATTAGCCAGCAAATGTACTAAGCGCTAAAGACAGTTACCTAACCAAACCTTCAAAAATACCTGAGTTTCATGTTATTTATAAGATCGGGGACGAGTTGCGTTAATTATAGCGTCTTTCATGTGTGGCAGTATTTGATCATTAATATTATTTCGAGACCGTATGCCGTTGTCTATCGATCATTATTAAAAGCTGTACGAACAATGCGCGGAAACGTATTCAAGTGAAAATTCTTCAAAGTTTTAAATCTATTATATAAATGTTTATCTATACGTATATAAGTTTATCGTTTGTAAACGTTCCGGTCTTTTTATTCCTGATCATAAGTATAAGTAGAGTTAATAATAATAATAGTACTCTATTAATTATCTTTATGAAATAATGAAAAACATATAATGAAAGTTTACGTAGAGCAAACATCCATCGAGTTTCAAAGTGAAAATATCAGGATAATAATAATTGCTTTACTAACAGCAAATGGCGAGTTTCAGGATTATAAGCCAAGTTTCCAGATTCTACACCTGTTTTCCTTCATTTCAAGTCAAGTAACGTCTCTAATATTAGGTGGAAAATTGTCGAAAATATCTGGCAAATGATGTGATCGTTTATTTTCAATATGTACCATACTCATCGCTAATATTCCACCAGAAATTGTTTCTCGCGCTTGTGTCCTGAAAGACATCTCATTGCTCTATTTATAGCAAACAGCAACAACATTTAGGTCGCAATTTTTCGCAACTACATCGGATTGCACAATGCGCGAAATAAATGAGATGCTTCCCGTTCTATCTTAATCTATCTATCTCCACGCTTAATTACCATGTTTTTGAGCACTTATGCCAAATGTTGCAAATCCGATCGTGAGATGCAAATAGGTATGTCACCTTCTGTGCAACATTTATACGTTTTAAGCGCTGCTTCCATTACAAGCGCGGAATGCCATGTCAAATTGAAAATCGATAAAACGCACGAGAGACTGTCGTATATTTCTATGTTTGCTTGCGATATTTATATTTCGTGTCCACGGAATGTCGTTATTGTACGTTTTCTGTGTAATACAGAAATCAATCCGCATATGTGATTAGATGGATCAAATGCGACTCACCGTGAGATGTGTTTCGTTTTCTTCGTGGAAAGAGCGCGGTGTCGCTGAATCTCGCCGACAGCGAACTCCTCTTCGTTCGATACATCAGCACTGCATTAGAATCTTTATAAATATGCGCCGCGTGTACATTGCGACTGCAGTTCACTTGCATTCTGCAAACATCGATTTGTTTTATGAAATTAAAATCCTAATTGATCCCATTGCTGTAAAAATATATTACTTACGATAAATTCTTCAAGTCCATGGTAAAGTATATGATAGAGGTGTCATCCTTCGGTTCTGCCTTGAAATTTGAAATGTTTTGTAATAAGCATCCATCCAGATGGTTGTGCACGTACGGATTAATAGCATCGATGAGCGTTCGGCCTAAACTGAATCCAAACTGCAGTCAAAATAAAAAATATCATCGTTTAACAGCTAATTGTGTAATTACTACTTTGTGTAAAAGTAGTTAATACTTTTGTCATAATTTTATAAACTTGTTTTTACACTTATCAGTATGATATTCTGTCTCTCAAATAGGAGATGTTTAAATAAATTGTAATGTTAAAGAATTACAAAATAAAATTTACAGTTTTGAAATTTTTGCAAACGTATGAACAATGTTATTTTATTTTTACGTATATGTGACGTTGTACAATACGTTGTACGTAATTATATTGTTGCTAACGATGTGAGATAAAAAATATAGAAATGAATAGTAAAAAAAAAATGTTACGTGAGAGTGTCGGTTTATGCACTCTCTCGGTTGCAAGTGTGAACAAGTCATTCACGTGCTAAAACAAGCCAATGATACACTAACACTGCACGGACAATATTACACTCGTGTGCTTATTTATAAACGCGGGTGGTTTCCCCGCGAGTGTAATAAATTATACAGAAGATAGGAACAGGTGTCAGTTGCCACTTCACATGACGGATGTCACAAAGTTAAGACATTCAAATTGTCATTGAGATAATTTTGTGTTATCTCGTGAAATTAAAAATATATAAATTAATAAAAACATTAATTAAGAGATTGTCGATGAAAGTTTGTGATTAGCGCGCATGCACAAGCAAAAAAAAATTATTGAATAACACTCTTGTTATCTTGTCAAAATTAATTTTTAATTGTGCTTAAAATTTTGGTTTTGCAATTCTCACCACTGCTTTGTTTGCGCTTTCCGATGTCAACTTTTTGTCGGAATCCGCTGGTTCGAATTTGAAGTTCGTAAGATTCACAGTTAAAATGCCACCTTTGTAGAAACCGAATGTGCTCAGAGTGATGTAATGTCTCCTGTCTTTCTGTAATGCAAATAACAGCTTTGTAAGCGAAAACGGAATACGTGTATTGTGCGCTCGAGAATGGGAAGGGAAAAAGAGGGCACGCATTACACGGTACCGTTGTTCCGCAAAGAACGGATTTACACGAGTCTGTCGATATATCGTCGTCCTTCGTTCGTGTCTTTCGTTCCGCAGGATTTCTCCGGAAACTTTTCTAACTGTGTTATTCCGTCATGGCCGTGCAAATTAATTAACTTAACCGCACGATGTTACAATTTGTGTACACAGTAGAGATTCTACGATCTGCTAAAATAATATATCTAAATACACAATTGCTATAAATTTCGATTTTTATATACATGACGTAAATAAATAACATATAAGTAACGTGACACATGATTCACTCAATCAAGATTATCGAGCGATACAGCTTAAAGCGATATTATTTTTCCACTACGCACGTACTATATACTACACATATATATTGTACTATGCATATATACTGCAAAATATGCTGCAAATTGAAAGTGTACGTTGTTTTTTATTTTGGAGCGTCCTACTGATACACTTTGCAGGATAATTGACAACACGCGTTAAAACTCCTCCTATCGGATAACGATAGTTTCGCGATGTACCGAGAGAATTTGCACGCGTGATCGCGTTTTTTCTCTCGAATCACGTTCAAGATAGCAATAAATGTAATAAACATCGTCTGAAAAAAATCGCGTTTTTAACTCAACCAACCCGTATGTCCAGCTTGTGAATCCTCGCGGTTACCACGACCAGCATCAACAGGAGCGCCACGCAGACACGCGTAACAGCGTTCGGCCGCATCTCGTTCGACTCCCTTTGCACTTGTCGTTTTGATATTACCGGCGATGTGTCACATCACAAAAAGGCGGCGACGCGTAACGATATCACAAACATCTCACCTTCGCTCGTCGATATGCGAGCAGGAACTGAGGGACGCGCCGGAAGCGTCGGAACCGAACCGAATCGGACCAACGTGACGTCACTGACCCATTGACAGCCAGTGTTGTGAAACAGAGGAACGACAAATCGAACCGTGCACATGTGTCACATAGAGACACGTACGTAACACATATCGCATGTAAAGCGAGAATTGTGACAGTTGAGAGAAAATAGGTGATGTTTTGTTTCTTTTACAGTCGAACGACATGTTGTTTTGGACCATATGAACTCCAAGAAGACAAATTTTGTTCGGGTTAGAGAAAAGGAAGAAACATATACAAAAGGAGTAGAAAGTGTAGTTAACAGGAACGAATCTTTGATCACTTTGAACTTGTTGATTGTCTTGTTTTTTCCTAAAACTGAAATTGAAAGGATTTAATGTAAAACGAAACTTTAATATTTTTCTGTGTTTTTATTATTGAATGATAATTTGGAGTTCCAAGTGTCAATGACTATTACATCTATAAGATCCAAAATGACATTTAAGTGATATAATATTCCAAAATTAATGTGAATTTGAACTAGTCGGAATTCGTATAATTAGTAACCGTCAGTAAAGTTCGTAGGTAGGTTAAACAGGGATGTTGCTTGTACTTTAAGGTAAATAAAATTCCATATATGTACATGTATATATTTATATATATTTATATATATTTATATATATATATGTATATATTTTAGTTTTCCCATAATGTTTAACGTCTCAAATTCTTTCAATTACTTGCTAAGATTTATATTAGTTATTCATGTGATAAAGAGATAAACCCGTGTATGAAACTCTCCAACTAAAATTCCTGGAATGCATATTTAAACACGTCAAGTTGAGGTTATGTTACTAACACGTCGATGTATCTTTGACGAAAAATTGTTTAGATCTCATTATCATGGAGAAGAAGTTTGCAGCTCTGAGAATTCCCGATTCTCCCGAATCTGAGCAGACAAAAATGACTAGAGCGTTCAGCTTTTCCGAATTGCAGTCTGCCCGAAGAATCTTTATCGAGCAGTGTTACAAGCGTAGTGATTCATCAAATTCAATTAGACAGTACAGTTGTGAGCAGATATTTGATAAAAATACCGGCACTAGGTAGATTATTAATTTTTGAGAAATATCCATAAAAGATTTTTATTATTTTTTCAAAACTTTAATTTCTGAAAATTTGCGTTAGTAAATAAAACAGGTTATTATGTTATCTAAAAAATGAAAAGTGCAAACATGTCAACTAATTCTTTTATTTTCAGCCAATTAACATACTCTGAAGTAGTACAAGCTGGCAATAACGAACAATCGAAAATGTGGAAAAATACTTTTCCTTATTACAACTCCAATTTAAAAATTCCAAGCTTTTCTTGTGTTGAAAACTTAGTTCCATCTACACCTGTACCTGTATTGCAGAACAATCAAGTTGAATATATGGAAGTAGAAGAGGAATCAAACTCTGCAAATCAATCAACTTTTGCTGCTTCAGTTGCAGTAGCGAGCACAAAAAATACAGAAAATTTCTTGCCTCTGAAATCAAACGACGATTTCACAAAACCAGTTCTCACACAACAAAATCTTACAGAAACAGACAACACAGACTGTGCAAATATAAATGACAACAAGAAGTCGCAGAGCTACCAAGATATGAAAGACAAAATTCGTCCACTTGTACCAAAACATCCACTCAAAATAGAAACAAACAGAAGTATGGGATCTTTTAAACTACTTCTTTTATTAGTACTTTCACTATTTATACTTTTGCTTTCGATTCTCTTGTATGAGGATCAGAATCATAAGCACAGTAGCGATTTCGTGAACGCTGTCGTTGAATTAAAGAAACATGTTTATGGTCAGGATCGAGCTGTACAGATTCTAAGTGAATATCTTTTACTGGATGTACCTTCGATGAAAGTCATAGCTCTTGTTGGTGGCACAGGTGTTGGGAAATCATACACGGCGGAAATTATAAAGAAAAATTTTCCACGAACATACTCCGTTCGTCAATATTTTCCACCGATCGAAAATATAAGAGACGTTCTTATTCCGCCTTTTAATCCGCACTTGATTATTCTTGAAAACTTGAAAGAGCAGCATTTAGTGGATGTTGTGAACTTCTTGAAAACACGTCATGATACGCTTCGCGATCGATATGTCACTGTGCTGATTGTGTTCAATGTCGAACGGATGAACGACGACTCGTCCCGTAACATAGATTTAAATCGCAGTCTGGATATAATAAAACGTTTTTTTGCCAATGAAAATATTGATACCAAAATTGTTCCTTACGACTCTTTAAATGAGGACGCTTTAGAAAGATGCATCATTAACGCGGCGAGAGACAACAGGCTGATACTTTCCGACAAGCAGTTCGAGCTTGTTAAGAAATACTTATTGGCGAACAATGCCGGTTGTAAGGGAGCCTACAGCAAGGTTCAGGTGATTGATAGATAATAATAAAACTTAATTATACGTGATCTTTTCACGAAGGCTGATAAAATTGTTATACTATATACGACTGAAATAAAAATAATAATGTCTAATTATACATAAAAATAATGCATAGTGTTTTCTTAGATTATATAAGTATACGAGTTTTTTATTGCAACGATGAGGTGATAATATTACGACTCGAGCTAGTTTTAGTATTGAGTTTTCCTATTATGTTTTTGTGATTTTATATTTCCTCTATTTGCGTCAGTTGATTAAATCCGTTAATAATTACCGGGTTTTTATTCAAAGAATGATGTAATCATTAACGCGGAAGAAAATAGGACTGTTAATACTAATGAGTTCGTACTGTGAGAAGTCATTTGTACGGATCCACAGTTCGGCGATCCGAACATGTAAAGAAATTTGTATACATATTGAAGATTGAAAAATTTAATGAATAAACTTTGTACACGTATTATTTCCGAATTACACGGAAGACGAGCGATAATTGTACAAACAATATGTGAGATGCCGCGTCCGCGGTGAGATGCGTAATCCGCACAGCGGTTAGACAAATTTATGATTAAAACTTTCGACACGTAATATCTCGCGAATTTCGCTTATAACTTTCTTCTGTACATGCATTTGCGATGTCTGAGCAAACGACCACGTGCATTGCGTGTCAAACCTTCGTAATAACACGTAATATCTAAACTGTAGGCGTAACATGTGCTACGTTGTTGCTAACGTTGTTATTGATCGTTCTTACGCAACTAAAACGTTGCTTATTTCGGTTTACATTAATTTTTGTTTATTTGGGTGCAAGTAGTTTATTTAATTTAATTTATAAAAACACACGACATGATGACACTTCGAACTATATAAGATGTAAGAAATCGTTCTGTAAATTAAAACGCGGTTGAATATAAAGTTACAGACAGGAGCGTTAATGTCTTTACACATAAAGTTAGATTTTTTGATGTTAAGATATTATTGAAGCATTATTGGTACAATTTTATGTGTAAAGGCACTAAATGCTGCTGCTTATATCATTTATTCATTGTTCAACAACAGAAGAACGTATAAAGAAAACTAAGATGATCATTAATAATTTGAAATTTCGTCGAAGGATTAAATAAGATAAGTATGTAGAATTTAGTTTTTGTCGGACATATTAGAATATAAGAAACGGATTAAGATATTTGGGAGTATATTGCTCAATATTTAGAGTTCAAGGATTTGTGTATTAATTATTTTATTGTGACAAGAAAGTAGAGAATAATCGCGGTTGCTTTTTTTTTTACAATTGTAATTTTTATTACTATAAATAAATATATACAAAAAAATTTTAAATATATTTTTAAAAAGAATATTTCTTTAATACTGAGAACACTTGTATACCTACGTACAATTTTAGCGTTAAATACTACATACATATATGAAAATATTTGTACCGCAAAAAAAGTAGAAAGAATATGTTTTTACAAATGGACGGTGATAACGGTTGTGTATAAGAAATGCCATTTCCTACTTATCTATTTAGTATGTTTGGTAGTTTTTAATCTATGCACTCCTACTCACATATACGAATTATAATTAACTCGTTTACTCAAACAACAAAAATAAACTATGCTTTTGTGGATTGACGATATTATCACAGTCGTTTATAGGAAATATAATTATCTAATTATTTGAATTTTTCGATCTGTATATCCTATTCATTTAATTGTCGTTACGTGATTTCCTTGGTGGTGTGATTTAGAGACGGATCCATCGATGTTGAAATTTTCGCTTCGTTTGGTTTTGGCGTTACGTCTTTCTGATAGAAAAAGTATCTCGTATTTACCTCTTACATACGCAACAATGATGACGCAACTGGTCAGAAGTTACGTTCGTCCTGAAACTCGCATACTATGTTACACCGTATACTTCCAATTCGCCCCGTTACTCCACTTCCTTGAGCGTCACATCGGGAAGTAGAAAGTCTACACATCCGACAATGATTAGTTTATTACAGCAATTTTGTCATTTTCTCGTGAAAAACCTCTCTATCCCGAACGATAGAATGTTTCCTGTTATTATTGAAACAAAGAAAACTTTTACCCTACAATCCTTTTAACAATTCATTAAAATTACGGCGACACATCCCGCGCGTAAACAACTAAAAACGTTTGCAAATGCACGGTTCTTGTTGGTCAATTTTCAGCTTGGTTAACGAACATCATTTTTTACATCCGTTTTGATGACATCGGAAGATAATTGCTTTCACAGTTCAAGGACGTCTTCTTTGCAACGATGTTGTCTCTGTCTAATTAATGTCGTGTAGTCTTTTTACAATTGTCAGACAACAAAATTGAGCGCTTTTGAGCATCATCTCGTCTGTGTCACATGTCCGTTACACACTTTTGTCTCACGAAGACAACTTGAAGACTAATTTGTTTAAATAAATATATACTAATGTAAGACTGAATAGGACAAAAGTATTATGTATCATAATATTTTTGATTACTTGCAATATGTTTTGATTTATAATTCTATTCAGTCTTTTAAAGGAACCTTGCAAATCCGAAAATTCTAAATTTGATAAAACTTTGCACATATATGTAAAGAGGGGTCAATAGATGAATATTGACATTTTTCGTTGTGGCCCAAAAACGCTTTTAAGGAGTAAAATCATCTCTTATGTGTAAAGCGGCTTTTCACTTTTCTCAATTTATCTTGAATATTATTGGATATTGCAAAATGTTTTATACAACAAATTTATAAAAAAAATCTTTTATTTATCAATATTAATAGACTTTTTAAACAATAATTTTTTAAACATATTTGTCACAAATTCATAAAACAATATTTTTTAAATAATTTTATTAATGTAGGTGGGTAAATAAAGGTGTTTTTGTCATTAAACTTTGGTACACAAAACATTTTTTTATATCTCTAATAGTAATATCTCTAGTTTTCGAGATATGTCCAGAAAAGCGCAAAGCCGCTTTACACATGAGAAGTATTTCATTCTTTAGAATCGCTTTTAAGCCGCTACTGAACATTTCTACATTCATGTAGTTATCTATATACGTGTACAGATTTTTAATTAAAACGTATTGTAAAAACATTTCTATGTAATCGCACATTTATACAGTTTTAAAATAAGTTTTTTCCAAAATTTATTTTTAGCGTCTTTTATACATATTTTATAGGATCAGTCAAAATACTTTTTGAGTTATGAGGGTTAAATGTTAGAGAATCGTAAAATATTAGAGAAATGGAGTATTAGAGAACCAACCATTAATAGTTACTTTATTAGTAATTTTGCCTTAGTTGGCTGGATCACACACACAAGAGGTGTAAATTCAACCGATTAACCTCTATGTAGTATGTACACTTTGGATAATGTTAATACCGGCGGTACTCTAACATTTAACTCTCATAATTCCGAAAATATTTAATGAAAAGAAACATTTAGTGTTTTGGAAAACTCTTAAATTAAGCTACAAGAATGTGCAAAATAAAATAGGGAGTTCTATTTAAAAAACTCAATATGATCTTATACACAAATTAAAATAATTATATCTAATTATGCAAATTTATATGCCGAATACGTCTATACAATTTTATACACGGAGAATCTTTTTTTAAAAGAATGGCTTCAGAGATATTCCATATCAAATTACAAAATAACTCTATTTAGTATCATGTTAGATACAAAAAAATCATATAAAACTATATTTTTACTATATTTTTAAAAAATTTTTGGCATATAATCATATATACTTATACACAAATTAAAATTATTATATCTAATTATGCAACTTTATATGTGTGTGTGTGTGTGTGTGTGCCGAATATGTCCATACAATTTTATATATGAAAAATTTTTTACCGGGTCAATATGATTTTCCGCGGTTCTCTAATATTCAACTCTCACAACTCAAAAAGTACTTACTGAAAATAAATTTCATTATAGTGTTTTTTGGAAAGCTCTTGAACTAAGCTACAAAAATAATTAGATATAATAATTTTAATTTGTGTATAAGTATATATAAAAAATTTTTTCCCGGGTATTTAAAAAAATCGATGTTACCTTGACTGATTCTTACCTTGACGATGTTACCTTGATTCAAGGTCAAACTGGTAAAATCAGTAAAAATATTTTTTTAAACTCTACAACCTGTTGTCTGAAACACTTTTTCCTAAAATCCTTAGTTTTCAAAATATTTCGTCGTTTTGAGACTTTTGATGGATCCTGTATAAGGAACTATCTTGCGTTATATACTATGATAAAAAGTTATTTTATGAGTAAAGATGATTTCATTTCCTGAGTATATTTATGTTGCAGTGCATTGTTACATAAAAGATCATTGATCATATTTTTGCAGTTTTTATGTCGCATATTGTGTATATGTGTCACATGTGTCGTAGCACACTGTCTGAATCGCGTTGCTATGTCATACGTCGGCGATTACCAGCGACCTGTATGAATATGTAAATCGTATAATGTTATTAAAACAATAAAATAAAATATAATATTGAACCATAATATAAAGTATCGAGATGTTACACTGAAATTTTATGTGTTGGTCAACAGGGCGAGGAAAGTAAAATTCAAGTATAGCATGATGTCTTTTGATGATGGAACATTATTGTAAACTGTTCTCACGTATAACGTATACATGACTACTCTGCACTGTTTATGTAAATGAGTGATATATTACATATTCAATTATGCGACATAAAAGCTGCAAAAATATGATCAATGATCTTTTATGCAACAATGCACTGCAACATAAAAATAATCAGGAAATCATCTTTATTCATAAAATAACTTTTTATCGCAGTACATAACGCAAGATAGTTCCTTATATAGAGTCCATCAAAAATCCCAAAACAACAAAATAATTTGAAAACTAAGCATTTTAGGAAAAAGTGTTTCAGACAACAGGTTGTAGAGTTTAAAAAGATCTATTTCCTGATTTTATCAGTTTGACCTTGAATGACGTCGCCAAAGTCAAGTCGAGGTAACATCGATTTTTTTAAATAGAATTCTCTGTTTTTTTATCACATATTTTTGTAGCTTAGTTCAAGAGGTTTCCAAAAAAACCACTATAACGAAATTTATTTTCAGTAAATACTTTTTGAGTTATGAGGGTTGAATATTAGAGAACCGCGGAAGATCATATCGAGTTTTTTAAATAGAACTCCCTATTTTATTTTGCACATTCTTGTAGCTTAATTTAAGAGTTTTCCAAAACACTAAATGTTTCTTTTCATTAAATATTTTTTGAATTATGAGAGTTAAATGTTAGAGTACCGCCGATATTAACATTATCCAAAGTGTATATACTACATGGAGGTTAATCGGTTGAATTTACACCTCTTGTGTGTGTGATCCAGCCAACTAAGGCAAGATTACTAATAAGGTAACTAATAAGGTAATTAATGGTTGGTTCTCTAGTATTCTATTTTTCTAATATTCTACGGTTCTCTAACATTTAACTCTCATAACTCTCAAAAAGTATTTTGACGGATCTTGTATAAAAGACGCTAAAAATAAGTTTTGGAAAAAACTTATTTCAAAACTGTATAAATGTGCGATTACATAGAAATGTTTTTACAATACGTTTTAAAAATCTGTACACGTATATAGATAACTACATGAATGTAGAAATGTTCAGTAGCGGCTTAAAAGCAATTCTAAAGAATGAAATACTTCTTATGTGTAAAGCGGTTTTGCGCTTTTCTCGACGTATCTCGAAAACTATTAGAGATATCAACAAATGTTTTATACAAAAGTTTAATGGCAAAAACACTTTTATTTATTTATACATACATTAATAAAATTATTAAAAAAAAATTGTTTTATGAATTTGTGACAAATTTGTTAAAAAATTATCGTTCAAAAAGTCTATTAATATTAATAAATAAAAGATTTTTTCTATAAAATTGTTGTATAAAACATTTTGCAATATCCAATAATATTCGAGATTGAAATTGAGAAAAGTGAAAAGCCGCTTTACATATAAGAGGTGATTTTACTCCTTAAAAGCGTTTTTAGGCCACAACGGAAAATGTCAATATTCATCTATTAATCCTTTACATATGTGCAAAATTTCGTCAAAATCAGAATTTTCGGATTCGCGAGGTTCTCTTGTTATATACTTATTGTTAAAAAAACATTACAACACAGAAAATGTCTTTTACATGGTTTTATAAATTGTGCGACAACACATCAAGCATGTTATGCATGCCAGATCGCAAATCACAGAACTGTGCAACAACTAATCTCAAGCAAAGAAAGTTTATAGCAATACATCACATTAAAATGCGTGCGGTTTTTTTTTGATCGTTTTCGAATCGACGTTTAACTGATAATTAATACAAAGATAGAACGAAAATAGAACAACCGGTTTTAAATCATGTTAGATTGTTACGAAATTTATAGTTTTGTAGTGTTTAGGTGATACTAACTAGGTATCTGTAAAAGAAGATCAAAAACTGGAAAACATAATTTATGCGTTTTTAGTTCAGAAAATATAAGCAGGGAGGTGAAGAACAATTTATATTGGATACAGAGTCAAGAACGCTTCCTTGTTCACCGAAGGATCAAGTCTTCAGAAGGATACGCTTGTTCACGAAACGCGATTGGAAAACAGTAGAGAGAGAAAGGGCACCTTGGAAATTATAAAAGAACGATCAACCGGCAAGAGTGGGGCAGTCGCTTCCAAGTGTACGCCTGGAGTACCACGATTTGAGGTAAGCATGTTCGCATAATCAAATAGATCCGCTTATAGGATAGTGTGCTGGACGGCTCTGTGTTGCTTCGATTTTGTGCGATTTAAAAGACAGACAAATTAAGTAAGCGTCAAAATCACATACTTAATATTACTTTAATTTGTATTCATTTATTTATTTTACTGATGATGAGACCAACCAAAGAGTTCCAAAATAATGTTATCATTAAAAAAGATAAAAAACCAAGTTAATCTACTATAAAGTATCAAAAAGTATCAATCAATGAAAGACTGCTAATTATATATATATATATATATATATATATATATATATATTATCAGATCACTTTACGATTATATTAATTTTTTTATTTATTTATGATAGCTAAACGTTCAACATATCATTATGCAAAAGAAAAATATATTTTTATGCAACTATATATTCTATATTTGATTTTTTTAACTTCTTTTTTTAACATAAAAACTGTAGTTAACACGCTTAAATAATGTACAAGAGATAGTTATCTTATGTAGTTATTTTTAAAATATGTATATTTATTAAAAACGTTATTATAATGCTACTAGAGTAGCGATTGAACAGTACGCGCTAAATTTGCAGAAAAAAATTTACTATAATATATTCTCATTTATGATAGTTTGAAAAAACTAAAATAACAAAATCGTTGAAGATTGTGATTTTGAGTATTGAAAGAACTAATTAAAAAAAAAATAATAATTATTGAAAAGAGTGATAGTATCTTAAAAAATCTCTAAACAGTAAATCTTTATCTTACACATTATTTTGGACAGTTGGAAATTGTAATGAAAAAAGTGTCATAGTCATATGAATGGATGTCATAGTACAATATATTACTACTGTCAGTGACGTTTTTAACTTTAGATTGTCCGATCACGTTCGGAATAATTTGTCGATCAACGTCGTGCGAATTTTAAAACCAATCCGCGAAACATCAATAACGTCCTTGAATGTAAAGGCCGACATTGTGTATAAAAGGGAATACGAGTTGTAAATTGTGTTGTCCGTCGTACAAAATCTCGTTTTCAAGGAACTTTGCGGAGAAAGATGTCGGAGAAAGGAATTTACAGAAACTTAAGCTGCGACTTTTGTCGAAATTGATCACGTCCTTGAATGTAAAGGTCGACATGGTAAAAGAAAATACGAGTTGTAATTATGTTGCTGTTGTACAAATTCTCGTTTTTAACGAAATCTGTAGTGTCGGATTTAAAGGAATTTATAGGCTGCGACTCTTACTGAAATTGATTACTGGTTAGTGCATTAAAAACTGTACTGGTATTACACGTCAAAATATTTGTTATTTTAAATTATTAAAATCACCGAACAGTGAACAGCTTTTATTGATCAAAATAAGTTGTTTTGATTATATCGGTAATGAATTTCTCTGAGAGTTTTTGCGCGGACACTTATATCGTTACAAATTATTATCTCGCGAAATCGACCGCAAACCAGTGAAGTTAAATAGTCGAAAGCGCGTGACATAATCGTTATACTATATTAAGGGGTCTTTTGCGGGCGTAATATAACGGTTGCATGATCACGGTACACTAATAACGAGACGAGCATAATGTTAAGTCACACAGACGAGAGTGTAAAAAAATGAAAGGATAGACTGAAGATATGACGTAATCGACATAATATATTCCCGGATAAAAAGCTCTCGCGAGCTGCGCGCAATCGACAACGCTGAAGAGATGAAAGCTCGCAACTATACTATAAGATAAGTGGCACTTTCTACACGGAAGAAGACGGCTCCCTTAATCAGCTTCGTGCGTTGATTGTGTGCACAGATCATGATTGAGTTTACTAACGTAAGAACGCGAAAGTGATATAGAATAACATTTGATGTAAATAGTCGATGATCCGACGATCATTATCCTCCGTCTATTCCGCCGACATCTCTACCGAGCCGAAACACGTACACACAAGTTGCGCTCTTAATATATAACGTGATTACTCGCAAAACTTTCAGTTATTAGATCACTTCTTGCAGTGATATAATTTGAATTTTACGGATATTGCGCGCACGCTTAGATATATTTTACATTGGTAAGTTTTAAGAGTCCAGTTCAGCGCGATAGACGAAAGGCGCGCGATAGTGATATTATACAACCGATTACTTCGTTCTGGAATGCGGAGGTTCGCAGATGAAGAGATAAATAAGAGCAAGAAACGCGTGGAAACACATAAAAGTAATAAAATTATTTAATAAGGCAGTAAAACTAGAAGAAAAAATGAATATATTTAACAGACACTTATTCATCGTGGACTCTCTCGAGGAGGCGGCGTTCTAATTTCTTCAACATGTTTCATGTTTTTTTTTTCTCACTTTCCTAATCGCTTCACATTGCGAAGCGAAGAAAAATAAGATACTATTATTACAATGGCACCTGAAAACGTTAACGCAACTACATAACAGTCGTAGCGAAGAACGCAACGAGATGATAATGACACTTCTCTCGGGAACAAACGGTTTGTTTCGGCGAACAAAGAGATAGGTGAACAACCGCATATAAATTGCATAATCGGAGAAAGCGATTGCAAAACAGAACCTGTACGTACAAGCGTTCTGACGCACGTGGTGCGCGATGAAACAGTCGGCCAGCCGCACACTAATCGTTATGTCATACACCAACGAAAGGTCCATTCGATCGGTTGATGGACGACACGTAATCGGTCTACTCCTTTCTAAAAAAGAGAAGAAGACAAGCGTACATTTCTTTCTCAGAACTCTTTTGTTCCCTTCAGTAGCCGTCGCGTCTTTAAACAAGAAGTGGGTCAGTCGGTCACTAGATGATATCATCTGAGAACTTCGGAAGAAAGTGAAAACCTGACCTCTCACGCTTGCATAATAGTGTTATTATTTGAAATAACAATGAAACGCACAAACCCAATCAGTGTACTATCTCAGAATTTTGCTTCGCTGATAGAATCATCTTTATCTTCGCTATTGCAAAAATAATTTTCTCACATCTTTATATCTATATATATTTTATCTTCAAAAAAATTATAATTATTGTAAAAACTAATTATTATATACGCGAAGAACTGTGTTGGTAAAAATTTAATTTTCAAAGTTATGATCTTAATCGGCTTTTTAAATAATACGTCTCACTACGGCGGTGTTTTCTAAATTCTTTGTAAGTTGAAGTAGATTATTACCCGCACAACACCTTACATTGCAAATACATATTAGATAATGCCTATTGCATTTACATTGCTTTTCATTTTGTATCAATTATAATGTAATAAATACATAATTAACGCAATAGGTTTGAAATATCTAAGTTAAATAACTACGTACCTATGTAATACATAGCAGGTATATTACGCATATTACGTAAATAAATGTATGATTATATCAAACACATAGTTAATATTTCTTTAACAAAAAAAGAACTCAGCGCTTAACACGCACTTTGCGATTATTGCTTGTCATTAATACATACTTTCACATTTGCAATAGATTTACAAATTAATTACAAATAACAAACGCTTAGCTCGCGCGCTGAGTTCTACTGAAAGCATCCGATGTCATAAAATTAACGTAACGATTAACTAAGCACCACTTATCTTCAAAACATCAGACAGTTTTTGACCGGCTCAGTGGTCTCGCAGTTTAAAAAGAGTGTGTGAATGATATTGGAAAGAAAGAAGTGTGTGTTCACAAAAAATAATATATAATTGTTGAACAATATACTATCATGTGTCAGCACTTGTTGGAGTTTTTTATTTTATTTAGTTTTGGAAACAAATAAAATATAAAGTTCAACAATTAGTAATAAACTGAGAATCATCTCGGGCTCTAAGTCTTTAAACTAATCAATGAATATAATTGGTCTTGAAGAGCCGTTCAGCCGAGGAGTTTTTTTCGCAATATTTTAAATTAAACTAGTAGGCAAGTAGAAGGGGTTATTCTGAGTCGAAAAGTCCTTTACCATTTTGCGAGATTCGCAATAATTCACGAATTCTTAATAAATAAAGATCCGCGAATGAGCGTGCAGCCACGTGCAAAATGACAGCTCGGGGCTATCATTTTTTTGCGCGCTCGTACGTCGTAGTAACGGAATGGGAGGAACTAATAAACAGCACATAACATGTATAAAAAATCAATAACTAACTAATGTGACGCGAAAATATGGACTTTGTGTTTTTTTAATTGAAATGATAAAGTCTAATGTCAAGATAAGTTAAAAATGAGTTTTTTAATACTTTTGTAATTACTTATTCACTTATTACTGTATTAATAATTATTTACTTTTTTTTTATTTTAAGGTTTACATAAAAAGAAATATTTAATTATTACAAGAAATTAAATTTTTTTTCTATTCTTTATAGGATTTTTTAAATACATAAATAAATAAATAAATGAATAATCGTTATAGACATCTTTCTTTAATCACGTAAATTTTTATTTAGTCACATAATTAATATCAAAATGTCGATATAATGATTATTATGTTATTTATGTATTTAGATTATTTATAAAAAGAATTTCATAGAAAAAATTAGAAGTTACTTACTATTTACCAACAAAGTGATTGAAGCTCCGTGAAACAATAAAACCGAAATAAAACCGAATAAACAGGTCGATGCAAACAAACATACAAAATGCTAGTGTGTTTAATTCTTTATTGAAACCATAAACTTACAACACACGAATCTTCAGTGTATGAACAGATACATGTAATGACAAATTGTTATAATTCTTTTGTCATTACATGTATCTGTTTCTACACTGATAAAGATTCGTTTATTGTAAGTTTATGACTTCAATAAAAAATTAAACACATTAACATTTTGTATGCATCGGCCTGTTTATTCGGTTTTATTGTTTCACCAGCTTCAATCACTTTGTTGGTAAATAGTAAGTAACTTCTAATTTTTTCTATGAAATTCTTTTTCCCACACAGAACAAAAACTCCATTAGACGTCTACTAGACGTCGACAGCTCCGTGCGACATCTAATAGATGTCTAATAGATGTCTAGATGGATGGATGTCTGTGTGGGTTATAAATAACCTAAATACATAAATAACATAATAATCATTATATCGACATTTTGATATTACAATTATGTGAGTAAATAAAAATTTACGTGATTAAAGAAAGATGTCTATGACGATTATTCATTTATTTATACTTATTTATGTATTTAAAAAATCCTATAAAGAATAGAAAAAAAATTTAATTTCTTGTAATAATTAAATATTTCTTTTTATGTAAACCTTAAAATAAAAAAAAAGTAAATAATTATTAATACAGTAATAAGTGAATAAGTAATTACAACCCGGTAAAAAATTTTTCATGTATAAAATTGTACGGACATATTCGGTATATAAATTTGCATAATTAGATATAATAATTTTAATTTGTGTATAAGTATATATGATTATATATCAAAACTTTTTTTAAAATATAGTAAAAATATAGTTTTATATAATTTTTTGTATCTAACATGATACTAATAGAGTTATTTTGTAATTTGATATGGAATATCTCTGAAGCCATTCTCTTAAAAAAGAAATTCTCCGTGTATAAAATTGTATGGAAATATTCGGCATATAAATTTGCATAATTAGATATAATTATTTTAATTTTTGTATAAGTATATATAAAAAATTTTTTACCGGGAAAAGTATTAAAAAACTCATTTTTAACTTATCTTGACATTAGACTTTATCATTTCAATTAAAAAATTACAATTTTCCATATTTTCGCGTCACATTAGTTAGTTATTGATTTTTTATGTATATTATATGCTGTTTATTAGTTCCTCCCATTCCGTTACTACAATGTACGAGCGCGCGAAAAAATGACAGCTCCGAGCTGTCAATTTGCACGTAGCTGCACGTTCATTCGCGGATCTTTATTTATTAAGAATTCGTGAATTATTGCGAATCTCGCAAAATGGTAAAGGACTTTTCGACTCAGAATAACCCCTTCTACTTGCCTACGAGCGGTGATACGAACTTGCTGGGACACCCTGTATATATATATGGATATATGACACAGTACATTTTATTTGCAATATTGTAGATACGTATCAAATATATAATTTACGTATGTAACACGTCGAATATACATATTGTTATATAATGTATCTGCTATGTAAGTTACATACTATAGCGCGGACATTTATTGATATTAAACGTATATCAGGTACATAACTTATACGTATTATTACGTATTTGCTATATAGCAACACTTTACATTTTATGTATCTGCTAAATATCTGAAATATAAAATGCTGTGCAGATACACGTTTTTTGAACGCAACCAAGATGGGCGCAATTGAATGGGCAGTCGATGAGAATGACTATGAGTGCACTCTCTCAGAGGATACTCAGAAGATCGCAAAGGCTGAACTTAGAGAGGACAAGAACACCAGAGATCAAGCTCTCGAGCAGATGCGTAATTGGATCAAGATGAATCCGCGTATTGAAAATTGCCGTCTTGGTAAGATTGTAATATCAAATAATAATCAACGTAAAAATAATTTTGTAAAACTCTAATCAAAATATGCCTTATAGAGACCATTTTGCTTTTAACGATCCTAGCGACGATCCTGCTACTGCAAACAATTTGTATATTAAACGTTCACTCTTAATCATCTTTTTAATCAGATGCACAATTCTTACTCAAATTTCTGCGATGCAAAAAGTTCAATGTGCCGATGGCCCAAGAAGCCACAGAAAGATACCTGCTGCTTCGTCAAGTGTATTCTCCGGCATTCAATAATTTGGACATTACAGAACCGAATATGAGAGAATTACTGTCATTGGGGCAAGTAATTTCGAAGTTAATTAAAATTATTATTAGTAAAAAGAGTTGTCTGTGATCTTTACGTTTATTTTAGATATCTCTTTGCTGCTCCTGGCCGCGATGCGAAAGGCCGTCGCGTAATAATCGCTAGACCAGGTACATTTTCGTTTACATACGAATGCTTCGCGTATACAAAAAGCTGTTGAGTGTTATGTAAAGTAATAATATACATAAAAAAATACTTTAATGTATAAAGAAAATGTATAAAGAGAATATCGTTTGAAGATACAAAAGTACTATTCATTTGAAGAATTTCAAAAGTTGATTTATTAGTTTTCTGTCAGTTCGTGTTTTTCAACATAAAAACATTTTTCATTGAGTTTGTATCATTAACATGTAATATATAATCTCGGCGTGTTTTTTTTCTTTTCATCGCGCTTATATCATACAAAACACTTGTTGAATAAGATTTCCACTTAAGGTGTGTTCGATCCGCACAAGTACACGAACGTGGACATGTGCAAGATTCACGCCATCACTTATGAGGCGCTGATGGAAGACGAGGAAAGTCAAGTGCGCGGTTTTGTGCATTTTGCCGACGGCGCAGGTGTTAGTTTTCCTCATTTGACACTCTTCACTCCTAAAGAAGCTGTGCGTATCGTAAAAAATGGCGAGGTATGTTAAATAAAGTTATTTAAGTTCTCTCTCGGATGAAGTTAAATTGGCAAATAGCAAACAAATATGAAAAAAAAAAATGGATCTAATCTAATAATTTTTTCCCGACAAAACAGCGCACTGTTCCGATGAGACACAAAGAAGTCCACGCAATCAATGCGCATCCTTCTTTGAAGTTTGCTTTGGATTTTGGTATGTCTTTGATCTCTGAAAAGATCAAAAGTCGTATAAAAATTTACACGAGTCTCGAAGACGCAATCAACAACAAGATGGACGTAAGCATGTTGCCCAAAGAATACGGCGGTACTATCCCTATGAAAGAAATGATTGGTATAAATAACATTATTTACGTATCTTGTATTATGGATATTACACTAAATTCTTTTCTAATGATCTATTGTTTGCTCAGATTTATGGCGAAAAGAACTGTTGGAAATAAAACCAAAATTATTAAATAACGATAAAATGAAGGTCCGTCTCGAATTATATTCAGAAAAAGCACGAGAAGGCGCGGTATCGGCTTTGAAGCAAGGATTTGGCTGTTCTAGCGTGGGATCCAACGATTCCATGATGTGTGGCATAACTGGTTCTTTTAGAAAGCTAGAAGTTGATTAACATTAAGTTGTTTTTTTAAGTACTCCCTGTTAAGTGTATGTATTCTGATATTTGATGCTTTCACGGTGTGTTGTATTAACATTCGAAGATGTTTTTCGGGTTTGAACCGCGTTAGTGTCATTTTTATACCAACGTTTGAGTACTCAAGCAGTATCAGGACTGCTCTTGAAACCCTGATGAAGTGAGCTGAAATGTTCACGAAACGTTGATATAAAAATGACACTAACGCAGTTCAAACCCGAAAAACATCTTTGAATGCATGTATTCTATTTAAAAATAAGATTGCACAAAGCCTTACTACATATAGTTTGACAGCACGCACACATACTTATTGTTAGATTGATTTTAAAAAGATAGAGTAATTTTAGTTTTATATCACATAGACGAAATATATGTATCTTAATTATGTAGAAACTTGAATAGATATATAAAATATTGTACATAATAGTGTTGTTGCCCAACACGATTAATGAAAAAAAAATACTTGCTTTTATTATTTATTGTCTGTCTGAGAAATTGCAACAACAAGTATTCGCAGAAAATTTAAGAATTTTCATGAGGTCAACCATTTGCCAATTATATCGCGAATCTTCATTCTGGCTTTTTTTAAGTCAGGAATGTCTGTGGCAGCATCGCTATAAAGATCGCAACAATGAGAAGATCCTAAAACAGAATACTATTATATTTTTCTCACGTTACACAAGATATGTGTATAAAATTATATTGTTTTCACCTTTGATGAGAATAGCAGGAGAGAAAGCATTTAGATCATCGAGCACCGACAATGCATGCCACGGATCGATATCGCCGTTTGTGAAAATAACGTTTGTTAAATCCGGCAATCGTCCTCCGTACATAATATTAGTTCTTCTAACTCGTGAATTCAATATTGTTTCATCATAGCTAAAATTACAGAAATAAGAGTAAAATATCGTTTTTAGAAATCTGTTGCAATTCGTAAGCAAGATTCGTTTCTCTGATGTTCTTTTACAAAATTATTAATAATGTTATAGATTGTACCGAATGTAAATTCGACCTTGTAGCCTGATCTTGTCCACAAATGGACTCCCACCCGTGGACAAGATCAGGCTACAAGGTTGAATTTATATTCGGTGGAATCCATTTTAAGGCCTGTACTAATTCATTTTTATAGATTGTATGGAAATAAATGAATTGATATGTTCTCATGCAATATAAAATCGTGATTTTTAGCTGCTATGTGTTAAACAATTTTCGTTTTTATTATTTTATTATTTTATTTTTTTTTTAGATTATGTTTAATATGTAATTGTCTTTTTTAATTTTATTCTTATGATTATATTATTATTGTATATTGTTTCTAATTATTATCCGCGATAATGATTTATCAATTGTTATTAAAAAGAGTTACGCCCGTAAAATAAATAAATAAATAAATTTAATGTGATTATATTTGAAGGTTTTTTTATTAAAAAAAATTAGTTTTAAATTATTAGAAACGAGTAAAAAAAATTATGTATATTATGAAATTGTTTTGTAAATACTTACTGATCACCATAAAGGTCGATACACAAGGTGATAAAATAATTTAAAGGAAACAACGTTCCAAAAATCGAGTTGTTCGAGCTTGATGTTTGATAATAACCGTATTCTGCGCAAGTCTGATAAGTCCACTGCCTCACTGCAAAAAAATTACACGAGTATCTTGTTACATGACACGTATCTCTTCATACAGAGCAAACACTCTATTAGAAAGTTATTAGATATCGCACGGAGCTGTTGACGTCTAATGGAACATCTAATGGAGTTTTTGTTCTGTATGGGTCTATATCAATATGTTTAACAATGTATTCTATTATCTAATCAAAATATATATAACTCACTGATAGTCTCAGCTGCTGGCGAATCCCACAAAACATTTCGATATTTTTTTACAAAATTATTGTAATTTACATCAAGACATTTCGGCACATCTTTCGTGAAAAAAAGTGCAAGTCTCTGCAAAGGACTACCTAAATGATCCGCTGTCATGACCAAGCACAACCGTTCGATTGTCGTTTGATTAGTTTCGACTGTATTATATTGAACGTTTTCAGCAAATAGCTGGAATTAAGATAAAATCGAAAATATGCAATATATAAAAAAGCACTGCCAATGTACGTACCTCTGCTAACGTATTTAAAAAGAGACCAAGATCGCTGAAAGAGTTTACATCGGGCACATGGCACAAACTAAAATCGAAGTCTTCATTTATGTTTTGTTTATTTTATAATATATTAATAATTATTTGTTTTTGTGACTTCTAACTCTTTCACAGTTAATCTTACTTGAAAATTGACTTAATGTCGTTAGAACCATTCTTCGTGCGCAGCAACTCTTCCACTGAATCGAATGCAGTTTTTACATCTTCGACGCATTTTGCGCTGGTTCTACCAAGTGATTTCGCCACCACCTCGTAGTATTCTAAAAACCACAATTCTTATAACAACATTCTTAAAAAATATTTACTATGTTTAAAATAATTTACCGTAAAAATCGCCCTTTGCATAAATCGGCGCGCTGCTTGCTAAAGCGCCCTAATAAAAATGAATTTTTTTTTATGTTTTACATATTTTTTTCAATGTCACACATGTACGTTCACACGAAAATAACGGAATTGATACTTGAATAAGATGAGGATATTTGAGTCGTGCCCACGCTGCCATATTTCCAGCGTAAGAACCACCAAACACTATCACAGGACTTTTTTCTAACTTTTTCTCCTTCTTCTTGGTTTCGATAAAATAAGCGAGATCAGCAAGAGCTTGATCAACGTTCAAGTATCGCAAATTTTCCGTGCTCGTGTCACTGAGATTGTTTCGTGTTATAATAATTCGAGAAGGCAAGTTTATATTCTTATAGAACAATAGAAAAACTGAATATTAATGACTGAATATTTATTTACCTTGTTGGTCTGCTTTTTCCGTAAAATCGATGTTCCGTGTAATACATCAAGGCACCGTGTTTCAACGCCAATTCGTACATCAATCCTCCTTGCAAAAACCCGTCCGATATTTCCCATTCTCCGCCGATCATTATAAAGATAGGGCTATTTGTCTTCAGAAATATGGGATTTTCCCGATAACGCTATCGAGCAAATAAATCGACAAATGTTCATTTAAAACATAATTGTAACATTTTGTGAAAAAATGATTGTGTGACAAATATTTACCATATACCAGGTACGATTATCGCGATGATTAAAATGGTCTACGGGTTGAGTGATCCAACCTTCGATTATGGTCGCATTCTTTGCCAATGGCTCTGGTTCCCTCAAACCTCGAAAAGTAAATCCGTGAAGACCCACTCCGTTCACGATCGATTGGAGTGAACACAAAAGTAGCAACACATTCAACAACATTTCGGTTTGGTTTTAACTTAGAAAATGAAGAAACCTATTTATTTTCCAACTCGTTAAATAGACTTTACACAACTGATTCGTACTCTACCATTTTCTTGAATAATGGCTAATAATAATAGCGCAGATAAGATATGATCAATAATCGATAATGTTTGAGTGGCATTTACTGTATTATTTTACTAAGATACTTTAATGAAATAATCGTGTTTAAAAATATCTGATACGGAACGTCCGAGATTGAAATGTATCGCTTGATAATAACGGATGAGAAAATTATTATCGCACGGAAAAAGTAACGATTAATTAAAAACACAGAAACAGAACGTTGAGAAATAATTCTAATATCGGTGTTCGTGATTTGTTTTTGTACGTAAAGGTTTTAATATTAAAGGTTTAAATATTAGAGCAAAAATAAGAAATAATTTATAGCAGTAAGTTTGATTTATATTTTCATTTATATTTTCATTATAAATGTCATTGTCTCTGTAGTTTTAATCACGCAAATAAAACTAAACAACAGAAATTTGTTATAAAGATATTGCATATAATTGAAGTTAAATAGTTAATAAAAAAAAAAGTATCTTCAATAGTAAGTAACATTGTTTTGTTATTCTTAATGCCTTCGCTTGGTAAGTTTATGGTTATTTTTCGAGCTAGTGTTTTTTTTACGTTTTTTAGAAGAAGGATTATCAGATATATTGTCATCTTCAATCTCGTCGTTACAAGTTTTTTTGTGGCTCGATCGATGATGTTTCTCGGATGATATCGTGCTCCTCGCACTTGATCTTTCGCTGTGGCCATTTTTCTTTTTATCACGAGAAGATTTATGTGATCGTTTTCTTTCTGTGGAACGGCAACGTTTCTTCTCTGAATTTTTCGAACAACGATCCAGTTCAATTTCAGGCGACTGAGACCATCTCCAATTGCGATCGTCTTCGCCATTTGGTTCAATAGATTCCCAATCGGATTTATTTCTGACAGTTAAATACAAACATTAACATAAAATATTAAAACTATAAGAATTTGCATGATGTATAACATAGAATAAAGCAAATAAATAACTTACTTATGATCGCTTCTCTTGCTACTCGATTCTTGAAGAGTTTTTTGTACCCAACGCGGCGGACTCTTAATGTTATATTTATTATACGGATTTCGAAAGGTATGAAGAAAATTGCAGCCTCTGTTACCTTTTGGACAGTTGTGCATGCCACAAATAGCGCTTCTCCAAGATGGCATATTCACAAATTCACAGTGAAGTTTTTTACCCGCATACCAACGCCCTTTAAGATTTCGCCAAGCTCTAGCCGCTTCTCTTTCCGTATTATATTCGATATATAAATTGCCGCGTAAGTGAACTTCAATGTTGCAACAACACTTGAACGTCGCGATCTTGCCAAATGTTTCCAATTCCTTCACAACATCGTCAAAGAATTCACGGAAGTGGCGTCGCCTTTCCGAGCTTTCAAATTCGAGGGCTACATCGGTATCATATTCAGCAGAATTCTTTTCTAATGAAAAATGTGAGTAAAATCCGGGTATCAGTATCTTCTTGCTAAGTAAAACTCTACGATGATTTTTGGAACATGCGTCACCATATCTGAAAAAAAAATTTAGAATTTACATAATAAATACAAATTATTAATATAATATAGTACTTTTATTTCTACTAACTTGCAAACACCAGTTTTTGTGAAAAATAGGCAAAGCTCTTTATTAGGTTTACTATCGAGAAGTTCTCTTAAGATTTCAGGTGTTTTTATTCCATTATCAATATAGTCATTAATTTCCTTGCGCGCTTGTTCCTGTTTTTTAAGTTGCTCCTCGCGTTGCCGGTTTTTCTCTTCTAGTAGCTTTCGAAGTTCTTCTTGCTTTGCTTCGCGTTCTTCAAAAAGTTTTCTTTGTTCTTCAAGTTTTTCTTGCTCTTTTTTTGCTTTCTGTTCTTGAAGAATGCGCCATTCCTTCTGTGCTTTTATCTGTATATGTAATACATAATACATTGTTATTCGCGATATATTTAGATTAGATATCGCTAAATTAAATTATCAGTTAAACTAAATATTATACACAAAAATTTATAAAAAAGTAAAAACATATATTGCAAAAGATATATCCTCTATTTTACCTCTTCTTCTAACCAGAGTCTCTCTCGTTCCGCGTGTTCCTCACGTTCTCGTGCTTCTCTTTCCGCTTGCTGCTTTTCATGTTCTATGCGCCAGTTCAAATATTCCGCGTTGCTCTCCAATCTTGTCCTAACCTGTTCTTCGTTCACGTCACGTTCTTGCGCAGCCGCTCGTCGTAATCGGCTGCGACGCATCTTCTTCGCGATTTTACGCCATTCCTTATGACTGAGCTTTGTTGTGCAATGGTCTTCGATCCTCACACACATTCTCAGAAGTATTAACAAAGTACGTCAAAATAAATAGGCAATGACCGTCTGTCAGAATTCACATCGAGCATTTATCTGACGCTGTCTGACGCATCAATCGGTTTTAGATATTGACGAGAATAGGATTGTTTGTTCGTTTCAGTGCACAATATTTTATACTAAATCCTGTGAAATATAATCACTAAAATATTGTTCTTTTCTTGTTAATCGTACGATAGCTCTTTTACTCTGCAATATTCATTGCTGCAACATGTATAAAGTTTGCTACTTTCTGTTTGTATATGCAGATTGTCAGCTGATCGGCATGCGCGTACACACATACAATGCGTTCTGAAATTTACTGCTAATGCTGGTAATCTATAGCACATGTGACGTGAAGTATAGATTTTTAGTATTAGTAGCAGTAAATATCGGAACGTAGCCGTAAAAAATCGGTGTGTTAAAGTTCTATCGGGATTTAAACACCAAACTTTAAAATACAGCGGAACGTGTATTTTTTCTTAAATATACAGCTGCGTCACCAATTGACTACTACATATCTGCCATTGTAGTTTAGGTTCAGGTTTACAAACTTTTAATTAGTAAAAATTAAATGTTTCATCAAGTCATTGATGGTTACCGAGCACTCTAATCTTTTGTGTTGCATCGCTATGCTATCAATTTTTTATTTCAGTCTTTTTATATATATATCACTCGTTATAGGAAATAATAATTTTGTAAAGGATGAATCTTTAAAAACTCCTTGCGAAGTACGTCCTGTTTTTGTTCAGAATCATTGACAAGATGAGTGACACTTCGAACAGATCTGGAATAATAATTGTGGGAGCGGACAAAGGTATTCAGATCGATGTGTATGTACGTGTATGTATTGCAGAAACGATTGCTCTACCGACTTAATCCCAGTCAGCATCACGATTAATTTTTTCTAACTTTATACAGTACTGCTACTAGCAAGACAGTACATTAATTTTGTTTCAATGTTTTCCATTTCGCTTTTAAACAAATTATAAATATTTTAAAGAGATAATACTTCAAAGCCTCTTCCATATATACATACAGTATTACTGGAGCTGTTAACATAATGTTTGCTTCAATTTTATATAAGAATAAAGTAAGAAAATATTTGACAGATCACTAAACTTACTCATCAGAATGCCATAGATCCATGCCTTGTACATCTGTGACAGATGTAAATATTTGATTTGAAATATTTGCAGATATGATGTCATTGGACCATAAATAATTGTAGACAACAACTTGCTGATCTATTCCTACGCTACATAACTGATTGTCACTTTTAAATTTTAGACCTATAGAGACATCGTATTTTTATATAAATCTTATATTGCCTCAAATTGTGTATGTATTCACATATACCTGCATATATTCACATTTACCTGTGATCTGAGCAGAATGTACAATTGCTGTACTCCACTTGGATAATAGTACAATTGATATCGTTTTGTGATTGTTCGTATCAATTTGGAAACAGACAAGACTGAGAAGATTATCGTCGCCACCAGTAGCTAAAAGATATTTATTTTTATTTAAATATTGTAGATCAAAAGAATTGATTCCTGACTGATGCAGACTATGTTCTGCAAAAGGAGCATCACTGAAATCTATAATATCCTTGGAATTTGTATCTTCATATATTTTCGTAACTATATTGGTATAATCGAAGAAACGTAACAATCCATCAGTACTCATTGTTAACACAATTACTTTGCCCTTATGTGATAACACGTGTATTTTCAAAATGCAACGATTTATATATTTGGTGGATACTTTTAAATACGTGTTGTTAGTTTTCATATTGTACACGAATAGTCTATAACACAAAAAATCAGAATTATATTTTGTAAGTCTGTTAATCTGATATTTGATAAGTTAAACTGTTAAATTACCTTAGATATCCGTCTGCACAAGCTACAAATATTAACACACAATTTAGATCCTCAGAAGGATAATACGTATAAATATCCATGTAACGTGTTTCTGGTTCTATAACATAAGGCTGTTTAGTTTCTTGCCAAAGTTTCCTGCGATATTGATCTTGTCCGTAGAGCATATGAGAGTTCATGTCGGAACATGATACATCAACACTTGGCGATATTTGTTGATTGTATTTAAAATTTATCTCCCAGACTTTTAGCTGTGCTCTTCCTCCAGCAGAAAAGACTAGATATTTGTTATTTAATTTGCCGAGCTTGTTGCTTAATTTAACAACACTTATACATTTTATGCCCGAAAGATGACCATCAAAAATTCCTAAAGTATGAAAGGTGTAGACGTTCTCGACATTTTCTTTAAAACTCTGAGATACACAACTAACACGAAGGGTGCAGTCTTCACCACCAGATATTAAAATATCGTGCGTATCAAGTCTTAAAATATATTGCAAGCAACATGTCTCTTTTACGTGAAAACCGTCCTAAAACAAAAACATTGTCTTAGAATTTTGCAGTTTACTTTTGTATTTATTTTTTAAATTTATTCTTTTAACAAAATACTTATATACCTGTAAAATAGGTAGTTTTAATGACTTCAAAGGATAATCAACTACGTAGACTTTCTTATTACGTATGTAAGCAAAACTTGCTGTCACTCAATATTGTACAGTCCCACGACCTATGACCGCCACCGCAAAGTACTCTTTTTAGAATTCTTTCATGCAACAAGTCATAAATTTTAAATTCTATCTGAAAGATAAGTTATCATTATAAGAAGTTTTTTTTTATCATCTCTGTTTTCTTTTTACATATTAATAAATATCTATATTTATACCTCTTTAAAACCAACTACAAGCACAGTTCCATCTAATTTTAACACGTTACTGATCCAATCCATTGGCATCTTTTTTTTATACAGTATAATAATCAAAAACCTCATATCTTCTTTACTTTGTTCATAAAATCTCAACATCCCGTCGCGTCCAGTTGTTATTATTTTCCTTCTAATACAGTGAAGGATTGTAACCTAACCTATCTTACCGTGAACTTTGTTAAGCGTTTGAATTGGTTTTTTTATCTCATTTGTGTTGTTCAACTCGAATATATAAACATTTCCAGTTCTGTCTCCACATACCAGTAACTCTTTGTAAATTATGGCAGCTGTTAACCAACATTCTCGGCTGGGAGGTAATATGCACTGTGCTTCCGTGTGAATTATACCTATATAATATTTTTATATTGACAATGTGTGCCTTCTTAAAGCATGTTGAAACTACTATTAATTTACTACTTGTATGCAATATATGTAATATACATACCATTGACAGTAAAATTAAATATTTTCAGAAAACCATTTGCTCCACATGTAATTAATGTATTACTTCTCAACCACTGTAAAGAAAAGATTTGAGATTCCATTACTTTTTCTTCAACGAGCTGTTGTAGATGCTTGGTATTTGTATTATTGACCTCTAAAAATATATTTTAATCGAATAATTTATCCTGAATGAAAGATAATAAAATCTATATTTATATATAAAATAGTTCTTATATTAATAACATCTCGATTTGATAAGAAATGTTTATACCTTTATATATTGCTACATGTCCTTCTTTAGATGCAAATGCAACAAAGGAGCGACATGGAGATACTTGCATGATACAATAATTGCAATAATTTTTCAAGTACAAAGAAATGGTCTCTTTTTTATTATAACATAATANTGTTCCTTTTTCATTGAAGATCAAAATTGTACCACTGTTCAAGAAGAATATGTATTTGGGAATATTATGCGTATTGTTATTATTAAACAAAGAAATTAGTTTTGGACTATCGTAATACGCAATGGGCCACACGTATACAGATCCATCAGCCCCACCAGTGAATATATTTTCATTATTTCCTGAGGTGTCAATACTCCATATAGGTGCACCATGATGAGCATAGACTTTATTGAGTAAATTACCTGACAATGACCATATGCACATAAGAGAATCCTATGAAAGAACACAAGAAAGATTTAATATATAAAACTCAAATGTAATTCTTTTACATGTTATCTAAGTCTTACTTCTCCTATCGTTATGATAATATTATTCTTTATTATAGCTCTCCATACTCTTGCTGAATGTAAAAACATTGTTTTTATTATTTTTGCTGTATGCCAGTTTATATAATTGTTTTTGGTACTCTCATTACTTGCTACTTTCCACAACCTGACAGTTCTATCATCTGATGTAGAACAAATGAGAGATAAATGTGGATCATAAATAACAGAGAAAATTACACNCTAAAATAAAGTAAAATACAAAGTAAAATTTCAATTTAATTGTTCTTTGCAGTGTAAGCACCAACCTTGTGTCCTGTCAGANGATGCAAAATTGGCATACTTTTACCAATGTCATAATCGTTGTTTATTTTCCATATTAAAATTTCTTGAAATACTGTTCCACTGAAAATGACTAAATCTTCTTGAGAAGTGCATAACACAGATCCACCATAGCTATGTAACAATTAAGATCAAATATATCATAATTCAAATATGTATTAAATATTTGTGAAAAAAAAAGATAATAGAGATAACAAAAGGATACAGGATACATTTTTCTGTACAGCATATGACTTGAGAAGATTGATCAAATATATTGTATATAACAATATAATTATGGGCAAACAGAATTGCTACTTGTATTTGTTCTTTGATCACTACCCATTCTATAGCAATTATCCAATCATTAAATTGATGATTACTTTGTTTTCTAAATCTGCAGCAATAAATTAATAAACAATATTGTCATAAATATTTTTTACAAGTATAAAACAATCTCTGCAATTTAAATATGTAATTATATAAAATACATACATTATTTTCTCTGTTTCTTTGACAATATCACAGATACATATAGATTTAGTACCAAACACAACTAATTTATTATTTGGTCCTACTACTATACCATGAATATTGTTTGGATATAAACAATCTAATTTACTTCTCAATTGATAAGACTCTGTGTCAAATACATAAAGCACAGGCCCCATACCTGCAATAACAAACTATTATATTAAAAAATTTAAACATTAACTATTTTAACATCAAAAATTCAACTTTGGAAAACAAAATGTCATATTACTCTTTCAAAACTTATTATTGTATTCTGTTATATTAACACTAACCTACCTACGAGGACAAAATTTTTTATGCATCGAATTGCGAGGACATTTGTACGTAACAATTTGGAAATCATATCTTCTATTGTCTTTGTACATGTAACAGTT